GCCGCTCTAGACAGCACAGTTTTGCTATTTAGTAAAAAGGTTTCTTAATGCATCATCGTTTGAAAACATCATGGAACGTTCGTACGACGTTAGAGTCGCTGACAGATAGTTGTGTCAGAACTGGCATTGTATGGGAGAGCTGACTCACATGTAGTGCTTCAACCTGCCGACATGTGATGCACGTGCTGACGCGTGTTTACAAAGCCCTTATATCGTTATGTGCGCGTGTTTTTGTCCTTTTTCGTGGTGTTTCTTTGTATGTTTGTCCGTGATTGTAGATTGTTTAATTGCACTCACATGCTCAGGTATAGCGCTATCTTTAAGTTGTTCGATTGCCCGCCTTACTTCCATCATAAGGTAACACCATTAAGAGCCTGTATTATAGGGCACGACATGTAACTTGTGTTCAAGATTTGCGCTCACTGCATCAAAATGATCGAATACCAACTGATTGCCGTTGATGCCACGAATCGTGCTAACATGCGCCAGACACGACCAATTCGAATGGCATGTTTGTCCTTGGCCCTGAGCTTTGCATGGCCAATGAAGTGGCGGTATTCGCATGACGTTTGTATGACGCCACAAACATATCGGTGACCTTGAAATAGTCTGCACGAAAAGTTTGCACAAGTTCGTGGGCGTCAAGCACAGAGGCGAGAGGATTTAAGTCTTTAAAAAGGCTGTGAACTGCATTGAAGTATCCTCAAAATGGCTATCTCAGTTCAAAACCCCACACGAATGCGGAACACTCACCTTAATAATGGTGATTGGAGCTTTACATGTCAGCGACTGCAAGGGCCATTTCAAGATGGCCCACCTTTAAAAGGTCCCATGTGGGATACGGATGTGGTGTGGCAGAGGTCCGAGCTTAAGATCGACGGGTGCAGAGCTGAGCACCCTATCCCCTACCCCACCAACATCCTCCTGCATTCGTCCTCTTGAAGCTGGACGTATATGGGGGCATCTTTAGGGCTCCCTTGGTACCTCATGAGTGAATCGCCCGACTGTGTTTGAAACTAGGTCCAAACTAGTCTAACTTCGTGGTGCGTTGCATCAAGTTAAAGCTTACCAACTGAAATGGTGATCATTTAATGGAGTTAGGCAGTGGTGACGTCTCGGGTTTTGGATGGGGGGGATTTTTCAGGGGACTCTTGAACAAAATGGGCCTTCTCACTGGGGGAGGCTTCCTGCGCATCATCGTATTCAAGGGGGAGAGGCACTGAGGTTATGTTCTCCTTTATCAAGCTGTTACACGCATCACATCCAAGTACAAGTACATGGAGTAACTAAATGTGTTTTTTTAAGGAGCCTTGAGTGCCAAGGTGTTCCGTCTTCCGCTCAGAGGCTCTTACTTTGGAGTTTGAGTAACTTTTAACGCTCGAGTGATCAATTTAATGTTTTGTTCAGCTGAATGTTTTTGGCCGACACGTTTTGCATGTAGAAGCACACTAGACGAGAACGAAAGTCCGAGCAATGATGGTATCCGTAATACTAATACCTCGTCTCAATCATTCCACGTAGCCAATCTTGTCGTTAAAGGTCTCGAAATGATCGCTGGGCGTAATTCCTTTTTTGGCACACAAAATAACGAAATGAGCGAAACACACTGTGCAGGACACCTTAACCCTACACTAGTCGCCCCGCCCACTCAACCTCGATGCATTTAGTCAGGGGACACCGCTTGCCGACTGGAGCGCCATCTATTCGGCGAGCTTCAACACGAAATGGAGGACGCGACCCGAGGTCCGGACCGTCACGGTCAGCGTTAGCTATCCCATCGTCACGAAACGCGTCAAATGCGTGTCCCTTCATGGGTCCACGACAGGCAAAAGTTGCAAGCCATGCTGCTCAGGCTTGACTGGGCTCACTGGCCTGGGCTGGGCGGCTCACAGCGGAGCTGACCAGGTCCGGACTGCGGTTCACCTGAGGCGCCGCGCGAGCCAACTGCTCATAGATCTAGTCTTAAGTCACACGGCATCTTCTAAAGCAAAGGCACCAGCATCTTCAGTATGGTACAGGGCTTTGCGATGGGCGGAGTGGTATTTGCCAGGAGCTAGAGGCAGAATCTGCATTTCTCTGCCCGCGCGAGTCGCATATCTGCCACCATGCGGTGGGGACGCGAACTACTCGATGCATCCAGCGCCGTCGCGGTCGCACCGCGTGGTGAACTCTAGCAGAAGTCGACAACCACGACAGCGCAATGATGTGCCTGATAAGCCGTTGAAGATAGGTTCCCGTCGTGAGAGCTTATATCTCGCATGTCATAATTCACGGCATCACTTCCTTCTTTTTAAACAATGAAAATGTGCAGCAGTGACTACAGACTGTTCTGATCAAATCACTTCGCTCTGGGTGGTTGCCAACGTTGGTGTTTTGGAAATGTCTTTTTCTACCGACGGCGCACATAATTTTCGATCTTTTCGATGCATTTTCCGGTGACTTGTGGCCTCTGCTTCAATTAAGTCAGATAAACAAATATGATAAGACAAAAATACTGTTCCCGTTGAAATCCACCTGGCCAAATCCCATGCCTCTTGCGGGTCCTTCACCCGCAGGGTGTCTTTTGTCCACCACGTGCCCCCTCCCGTTACCAAGGCTCCGGCTGCGTCTTGGGCGTTGCCTGTGCCGGCCCCTGTGACCTGGCGCGCCGTCCGCACCGCCAGCCGCGGTCGGATTTTCGGTGTTGCCTGCAGCGCCATCTACTCTAGTGAACGTAGCGCCACCTCTGCTGTCGGCCGCGATCCAGTCTGCCCCGTGGACGATGGCTTCACCGGCGGAGCTGCCCGCGGCCCTGCATCAGGCGAGGACGACGGTGTCGCCTGCTCTCCCGGCTGTGATGCCTCCATGTCCGGTCGCTCCACTGCGATCATGTTTACCGTGTAAACTGTGTGTTCGGCAGGATGACCCGCTGGGGTTTGTCCCTCGAGGGGCTTTCCCGGAGGACCGGCCATCTTCTGGTCGGCTTGTCATGGGTCGCCTCCAACGCCGACCTTGGCTTGCATGACGTATGTATAGTATGCTAGTGCTCTTTTTCTGCAAAAACATGGACTCAGTTGGCTCAGCTTGATCAAAACGAAAAGATGGTCACAAGCTGGCGTTGATCAGAGCTCGATCAAAGGGCCCCGGGGTCCAGGAGAACTCATGGGCTCTAAACTCAGTGATCAAATGACACTCCCACGATGCTGATGAGCGGACATATGAAGGAGACTCGTAGCAGGGGGTCTCAAGGCAACCAGCGGTTTTGAATGACCGAGGATTTGAGCTAGGCACAGATTAACACAGTTTTATTTTTCATTAGGCACATAATTATTTACAATGCATTTTATCATAAGCACAGTTGGGCAGTAGCGCCAACAGTGTCGGCGTTCCTGCACCTGACCAGCACAGCGAACGACTGACTTAAGTCATGAGTGGCTTACGTTGCCAGTAAAATATAAAGATACCTCCAATGCAATTTCCAGCACAAACAATGGTCAAACCTGTCCCCGGCTCCTCCCAGAGTTGGTGCTGTTGTCCCTGGGCCCTGCACGCAGAGCCAGCTCCCGAAGACACGGAAGACTGCGGCCCCATCTGCTAGGCACTGGTCAGCACTACTTGGCCAGCAACTGCCTCCGCGTGCCGCGTGGCCCGACCACCGGCGTTTAAAAGGCACAGAGTATAGTCGAGTCAACGTATCCGCGCTGTCCTTCATTTTTGAGCGGCGTGACCAATTGCAACTGGGGTAATGAAGCGCGCCAGGAATCCAAAACTCTGTATGGGGCTGGGGCCAACAAGGGGCAGCAGAGAGTATCACACTGGCCGTTCTTACTTAGAGCGGCGTAGTGGCGTAGGTGAGAAGCGTAGAAGGTCGAATGTCGTTCGGTACATAGCCACGGAAATTGGAGATGGGGCCTTCCGGGTAATGGTCTACCCACGCGTCGATGTTTAACATTTAGCGTGTGATGTTGCTATATAGCCTCAGCAGCTGAGTGCGTCGTGAAGCCCCCAGCGTGTGATGGTCTATGGGGAGAGGTGACCAATGAATCTGGCTCCTTTTCGTCGTTGGACGCTGCCAGGTCTTGGCTGCATGAAGCCACTCGTTATGTGTGATCCTTCTTGTCATTCTGCAATTTTCTTCACCATATTTCATTTGGTGATCGTAGATATTGGTGGTCTGGTTTCAATGTATCATGCAGTCGGTGTTGGGAATGTTGGGTTAAAGAATTCATTGTCTTTGGTAGTTATGACATGTTTTCTTTGTGAGATTGGTGCGCATTGGGTAACAACAGTTAGTCGTCTACCAGGCAACTGTATTTGCGAGTTTTCATGAACATTTTACGTATTCTGGAGATTATCTTCTCGATAAAAAATGGGTCATGATCTCGGCCCACGTATTGTTTTAACACGCGTCCGGGTGGCCGGCTAGATACCCTTTGCTCGGGTGAGGGGGTTCAATTTGACCCCCCCCCCCCCCTCCCTGAGATCTCGGGAACTAGGAAAGGTAGAGACACAAAATTTACGGGGTGTGTTGATCTGTACGTGAATTCACTTAGGTCCAAGATTGAGGTTTCCGGGTTATAAACTGCGGGTCAAATAAGGTCAAACAAGATCAAATTCCAGGCTGATCTTCAAAGTGCTCCAGAACCTAGATAACTTTCTAAGAAAAAGGTCACGAGCTCACTTAAGGTCAGTGACCTTGTTTGACCCTTTGAAAGTCATGGGGACCAAAATCATACAAGACCGCTCTGAGTTTTGCATTTGAATAAGCGACAAAGATCACGCTAGGCAGTATGTTCCCAAAAACAAAATGTCGACCTAGGTCATCTCAGGTCAGTGACCTATTCAAACCTCTAAGAAGCCAATGGAAGATGTTGAATGTGGTTCCTACTATCAATAAATTCGAAATGAGCACCAGAAACTACCTCCTGCAGCAACCCCTCGAGTAATAAAAGAGGTTGGTTTTGACCTTGGTCTAACGTTCATACCTGACCTTAGGTCACCGTAATTTCCTCATAAAATATTTGTGTTGCCTAAAAAGTATCTTAGAGATGTATGGCTTTGTCAAGCACTCCGCTGTTCGATCAGATTTAACGTTTCCCTAGAAATTGCCTTCGCTGAAACCATGGCCTGATTTTGACCTGCCATAGGCCAGCGACCTTACAAGGCACATTTAATTTGTTCTATCAAATGATCCGCTTTTCAATTGTCTATAGCTACTCAAAGTTTGGCGTGGCTACGCCGCGCCGTTCGGAAACCATTCTGGAAAAACCTTTGGGGGATCATTTGACCCCCACCCGAGCGCATGTTAACTGGTTGTAAATGTTATCACTTTCACACATTTTGAAAACCGAAGTAGATGTCTAAGTACAAAAACTTCGGGTACCCTTTCCATACTAGCAGGTACATGGTATGATTTTGAATGAATAAGTACACGGACGTAATCTCAGGTGGACTTGTTACCGGTTTTCACGCACACATGTTTGCGGTGCAAGTGGTCGTGCGCATCGGATTCCAAATTCAACGAAATTCGAATATATTTCACAGTTATACTACCTACATATTTGGCACGACAAAACAGCCCTCGCAGACAATAGAGGACCCTCCAGCTTCCAAGCATTGCTCAGAGTAACAACAATCAACACCGATCAATACACTTGATGTGAGACCATCACACACGCAAACATCAATATCCCGGCAAAAGTATGCGTTCAATACACCAGATTGCAAACAACAGAAAGCTACGATCGTGTCAGTCTTCAAAAAACGTATTAGGTCTACGTTTTACACAACATATTTATACAACACAACTCCTGCAACAAACAAAAGACTGTGTTTGGGCATGGAACAGGAGCAGTTTGCAAGCGCAGTTACTGTACAAACTGAATACATAACCTGTTTCGAAGATCCTGCGGGAATATTCATTATCGTCCTGCGTGCACTTCCGAAGAAATCTCGTGGCAATAAGGATCACTTAAGCTAAAAATCTGTAATCAATGCTATAATCAAAGAGAAGGCCTCGAGAGAACTATGACTATAGATATTCAAGCTGGTTCTCGGAAGCATTTCGAAGTATTTTGAGCATGGTCTGCACGACACTTGCGTTATAGGAGCGGCATAGTCATTAATGCGCCATCCAAGCACCTGTCCGGCCTCAGGACGAGTGCCCGTTCAACAACAAACGGCATCACGGAAATACGACCCTCCAGTGAGTGAGACGTAGCTGTTATAGTCCAAAAATGCACACGAATTGTCCGCGTTCAGGTGCTAACACTTGGAAGCGAACATACCTGGGGTCTGCAATACTCGAGAAAATCACGACTCTCCACTTCCTTTTACGCCATCTGAAGCGCGGCAACATCAAAGTCGGGTCATCCAGCTGAGTGCAGACGGACGAGATGGGCCATCAAGCTCGGCCCTTGAAACATAACCCGTCCCGCGTTGAGCCTGGGCTCCTTGACTTCCTCCTCAGATCGCGGGAGACAAATCACCCGCCAGCGCAACAGTTGGGAAGTGTGAGCAGCTGACGAGGAGGACGCGGTTCACATCTCTGTTGCAGACGGCCACGTCTGGCCCGCTGACAGGGACCTGTCACCGGCTGCGCACAGCGCAAGAATGGTCCAGAGCGCAGTTCCGATGGCGCAATCTCGCTGGAACGTGATCCCGCCCGGCCGACCGGGACCGGAGACCGGGCGCTGGCCCGCCGCCACCCGCGAGACAACGCCGCAGGCCCGGCCTCGACCTCCAGGTCGTAAGCTTCTGCAGGCATGTGTAACTATGGCATGTGCTGCCCCGTCTCCCTGCCTATCCGGCGCAGGCATGAAGCGAGAGAGGCTCACTGCAGTCACGCAAGTCATGCTAAACTAGACAAAACGCTCCATTCATGGCGCGAAAACTAGCTCATCACTCCATTGGCCCTCCTAGCGGGGCAGGAAGCGGATCAGTGTTTAGCTTCTGTACACGGGACCACACGGGTCTCCCAGTGGAAGACAGCCTCTCATCAGTGCATGTCACGTCTGTCAAAACAATGCCCATCAAAGTACTTAAACAAACAATCAAATACATTTTCTTTGGTCCCAGTCGGGGACTAGAAAGCACACGTGCCACTAAAAATAAGCTCATAATGCTATCTTCTGCTTTCGAAGGGTTCTGAGTATCAGCGAGCAGTGGAGCAACGGAGGCAAGCGTTGCCACAAGACAGCCAGACATCACGTTGTCAATCAACGCAATCATGTCCTTCCAATTGATGGGAATCCTCGGCAGCAATGTGTTGCGAGTTTTTTGTGAGTGTTTCACCGCCCAGCATGAGGAAAAAACTACAGAAAAGGCTGAGGAGACGGCAAACATCGGTCACCTCATAACCTAAAAAGGCACATTAAGAAATACTATTCGCTATCAATGTTTTCACTGACACAACATAAACAAGCTACATTGGTGAGCATAACAGTCTCCAAGTCCCTATAACCACCAAAAAGTTGTTTCAAGCGTTCCAGCCCACATGACAGTTTCAACTATGAAAGTAAAGCTGGAGGTTTCGGTGGTCAGGCAATAGAACTGGACATTTGGACTAGTGCTGCTCAGTGCACATTTGTGTTAATTGGTACAGAGACAATTAACTTCCAGTTAATAAGCCAACCAACTTATCGAACTGTTCGAACGGTTCTCGTCCTTTCAAACCGACTGTCTGACAACAAATAGACTGCCACGTACCACTCATACTCGCCCGGCCGAGCATAGGATCATGAGACGGCCTTAAACCACTGATGTCCTCCTTCAACCGAGTCTCATTAGCATCCAGACTTCAACCGCGATAGACCGACGAGTTGGGTCGTGTAAATCCCACAGCTCGGTTCGCAACCCAACGCGCCGTGTGAGCGGGTAACGCGGACGGAGGTCTTCTCGGCCATCGCCCACCATCGACGGAGGTCTTCTCGGCCGCCTTCCACCGCCGACGGAAGCCTCCTCGGCCACCGTCCGCCGCCGACGGAAGCCTCCTCGGCCACCGTCCGCCGCCGACGGAAGCCTCCTCGGCCACCGTCCGCCGCCAACGGAAGCCTCCTCGGCCACCGTCCGCCGCCAACGGAATCCCCGGCCACCGTCCACCGCCGACGGAAGCCTCCCCGGCCACCGTCCACCGCCGACGGAAGCCTCCTCGGCCACCGTCCACCGCCGACGGAAGCCTCCTCGGCCACCGTCCGCCGCCGACGGAAGCCTCCCCGGCCACCGTCCGCCGCCGACGGAAGCCTCCTCGGCCACCGTCCGCCGCCGACGGAAGCCTCCTCGGCCACCGTCCGCCGCCGACGGAATCCTCGGCCACCGTCCACCGCCGACGGAAGCCTCCTCGGCCACCGTCCGCCGCCGACGGAAGCCTCCTCGGCCACCATCCACCGCCGCCAGCAGGACGCCGGCGGCAGCACCGCTCCCCAGCGCCATCACACACAGGCCTTACGCCGGCGCCCGCGGCGTGACCAGCGGCGCCAGCTGGGTGTGCAGCGCTGGTGGGGAGCAGGGCGAGCCCGAGTCGCGCGAGGCAGCCGGGCTGGGCAGCCGAAGCGGGCCCGGCCGACACCAGAGGCCGCTCATCTCCTGCCGGCGTCGCCGCATCAGCGCCTTGTACTCGGAGATGCGCAGCTTCTTGCCGTCCACGATGCAGGTACGCTTCGGCCGCGGCCGGTACCGGTACTCGGGGTGCTCCTCCATGTGCTGCTTGCTCAGCCGCGACTGCTCGTCGTAGAACGGCTGCTTCTGCTCGTTGGTCATCTCTTTCCATCGCGCCCCTGGCGGTGGAGTAAGGAAGCACTGATGTCAGCAGGTGAAGAAGTACAGGTTGTGGGTTCGGGACAATAGTCTGAACCTGGTAACAGCCGGTGAATGATTGCCCCTAGTACATACTACACAGAACACCAAGTTTCTCGTCTAAATATAAATGCACAAATGCTTTCCCCGAACATCAGCTCGTAAAGCTTTGCTTCACTCCCATTTGAGGGATCCGGGCTCTGTTCACGGTCACGTCGGCGACAAGTCCGTGTCTGCTCCAGTCATGCATCGCCAGGCGACAAACGTCCCTTAAAAACACAAAGTCCTCAGCTGGCAGGCTGGCTTACATCAATCCAAGGAGGTGGCAACCTTATGCAAACTTATGCCTACAATATCTGCAAAGGAAGCCACTTTCTTCAACGACTTGCCCGGCGCCGAGAGATATCCCGTGCTCGGCCCGCGACCCCGAGTCATGACACGGCCCACTCGCCTAGGATCTTGCTGATGTTGGAATTGTGCATGTCCGGGCAGGACTTGAGTATTTTCCGCCGCTCGTCCTTAGCCCACACCATGAAGGCGTTCATGGGCCGCTTGACATGTGGCTTCCCTCCGGTGTCCCTACGCTGCTGTCGGATTATTTTCGCTCCGAATAACCTGGCTGTAAGTGGGAAATCACCGCGGTTAGCAACGGCTAAGTTTGTTCGGCGGACTACCAAAACTTGCCGCAAAATCATGCATCAAGTACTCGAAGCTCCCACGAAATTTGCCTTTTCGCAATCGATGCGAGGCCAGAACATAACGTAGGTCTGTGCAGTTGCGGGCGCAGATCAGCCAGGTCTCTGACACATCATTGGCAGAAAGATCTTCAAATTAGAGCAGAATGCTGCCCGGTGACACCAGGCCGGAGCTGACACGCTGTCCAGCCGCGGGTTCTGTGGGTGGGAAGCCACCTACATGTGCAGGTGGTCTCCGCCGGCGACCCGCCGTCCATGGCCACCGGTGATGTCATGATGGGTGACGTCACGCCCGTCGGTGACGTCAGCGTCAGGCAGCCGAAGAGGCTGGCCGGCGGGTACAGCATGTGCAGCGGCAGGCCTTCCCCGTACGGCTGGCCCACCAGTGCCGAGCCAGAGCGTGAACACGAGGCCGGGTCCAGCGGGTCTGTCGAGGCGGCCGACGACGAGCACTAAATGCTTATGTCTTCTCCCAACAGCCAATCACACGCATGGCAGAGCAAAGGCGAATATCGGGACCAGAATGTTTTCGCAGATAAAAACCATGACGAACAACTAAGCCTGTTTAATTCGAAGTAAAATAGCAAATGGCAGATCTTATCGACCTATTCTGCAGCTTAAATCGAGTTACGCCGGAGGTCTGTTTTCTAGAAAATTATTTTGCTGACTCCCGGCTCGACAAAGCCGTCACATTGGCCGCGGTGATCCGGGACGCGGGCGGCCGAGTTCACTTACAGTCGGCAGGGGAGGCCGGTAGTGTCACCAGGCCGTACGGAAGGAGAGACGTCGGCAGGAGCGGCTGGTCGGGAGGCGCTGGTGGACGATCCGAGTCAGCGGGCGGCGGCGGCGGCGGCGACCGCTTCCGCTTCGTGAGGTTGAGGGGTCCGTCCTGCTGGGTGGCTGCAGGCCGCTCTGCTGTCGGGGGTATAGAAGTCCACGAGCACGCCTGAAGCGGACAACATTGCTCAGCAGGCCCGCCTGACTGGGGTCGGTGCTCCAACAACAGGGAGATAAGCGGTACTAATTCATATGTTCGTTTAGGGCAAACTTTTTAAGTTTCCTGGACATTCGTGGTCACTAATCAGGCTCTTATCCATTCTTGGCCCCATTACAACCTGCAAGCCACGGCAGACTTTGACTGTTACATGATCGAATCACTTCGCTGCGAACAGGGGACGCAAATTGGTTCACGTTAGCACCATTTCTAACATCATGACTAATCGTACCTACAGCATTTCGGGCCACTGACAACTGACTGTCCATCCACTGTCCACTGACTGTCGAACCACTGACCACTGTCTGTCGAGCCACCAGTCACTGACTGTCCAGCCACTACTCACTGACTATCCAGCCACTGTTCACTGACTATCGAGCTTCTATCCACTGACTATCCATACCACTGTCCACTGCCCGTCGAGCCACCGCTCACTGCCTGTCCGTCCACTGCCCACCCCCACTCAGATCAGCACAGAAGTGCGTATTTTACATCCCTATATGAACTCTCACGTAACGCTTCACCAGATTATCGCAGATGAGTCCCACCAGGTGCCATGTGATCATAGAGGACCCTCATCGGATGAAAAGGACTCCCGCCGGGTGTGCAGGGCCCTCACCGGGTGAGCAGGACCCTCGCCGGGTGAGCAGGACCCTCACCGGGTGAGCAGGACCCTCCCCGGTGAAAAGGACCCTCAACGGGTGAGTAGGGCCCTCGCCGAGTGAGTAGGGCCCTCACCGGGTGAGCAGGACCCTCGCTGGGTGAGCAGGACCCTCGCTGGGTGAGCAGAACCCTCGCCGGGTGAGCAGGACTCTCACCGGGTGAATAGGACACTCACCGGGTGAAAAGGACCCTCACCGGGTGAAAAGCACCCTCGCCGGGTGAGCAGCACCCTCACCGGGTGAACAGGACCCTCGCTGGATGGGCAGGACTCTCACCGGGTGAGCAGGACCCTTCCCCAGAGAGGGATCCCCACCGAGTGAACAGGATCATCGCCAAGTGAACAAGGCCCCCGCCGGGTGAACAGGGCCATTACTGGGTGAGCGGGACCCTCACCAGGAGATTGGAGGCCGGAGGCTGGAGGTTGAACCCCTCTGGCGGCGCGGCGTAGCCTGCTCCGGCCATTGCGCCGCTCAGCAGCGGGTACAGCATCAGCGGATGCGGCAGACGCAGCGGCTCAGCCGGCAGCGGCTGCTGAGCCCGCTCCTGGCCCCGCCGCTGCCGCTGCTGCAGCATCTGCCGAACATAGGTACACGCGGGCTGATAACACTCCACATCGATAGCGACGAGGCTGAAGGTGGGGCTAGCGGGCTTTCTCACGAAGCCAGACTGGCCAGTCGCTAACGAACCATCCACTGGACAGCTCACACACCCCAATAACTTGACCATCCGCTGGACTCAGCATATACTGCAATAACTGAACCATCCGCTGGACTGCGCACATGCTTCAATAATTTAACCATCCGCTGGACTGCGCACGTACTCCAATAACTTAACCGTCCTCTGGACTGCGCACAGTGCTCCAATAACTTAACTATTCGCTGGACTCTGCACATACTCCAATAGCTTAACCATCCGGTGGACTGCGGACATACCCCAGTAACTTAACCATTCGCTGGACTCCGCACATACTCCAACAGCTTTCTTTTCGACGCGGAACGCCGTTGGCACATGTCGAAAATATTGAGATAAATTCGTGTATGCGGTTATGACTCGTAGGAAATTATAACGTGTCTTTTCCGTACAGGTGGCTTTATGGCGCAGACGACAATGCCTGGCACAAATCGATAGATAGTCAGCATCGATGGAGTCATTTTCACTCGAGCGGCTAGCGAACAGATGGTGAAGCATGCTTCATCGTTGGGCCCATTATTGTGCTACTGTCATGAGAGCAATATCTAGGCATAACTTGACGTGTGAGAAATCCAAGCAGCGAACGGTTTGATCTCTCCCGTTGGCATTCGACCCCAAATAATGTCCACCTTACTGCATGGGAAAAGAAGCGCCAAAATAGGGCTTCCCGAAAAGTACAAAGCAACCCCTTTTGGTGAAACGGGCAAAATGACCCTCTCAGTCAGATCAAGGTTAAAATGCTGGCCTGGAACGAAAATGAGGTAAATCCAGGTTAGAAACGGCTCCTGACCTTGCTTGATCTCGAAGGCTTTTTCGAGCGATTCAAAGTGACCTGTTTGCTTTTAAAATGTTTTAATGCGGATTTCATGTTACTGGTTTTATATGTGGCATCACGAATTTTACGTGCCGTAAGCATTGTTCTACCAGCCTTTAGAGATGACGTCATAGGTCAATGAATAGGTGCGATATCCGCAACATCACTTTCACGACGGCAGTCACTTGTTCCTCTTTGGTCTCAGAACGATCGATTGGGAAGATGTGTGCCCTCCGTCCACCGAGGGTTCTAAGTGATGAACCTAGCGGCTCTATGCCACTTTATTTGGGGAGAAATTCAAGGGGTGATATTTTCGTCAGATTCTGTGACGTCATGCCAATGCACACACTCAACACCGTCATGGTTGGTGTGCTCTTCACAACATTGCAGCTCCCACGATGTGGGTACACGAAGTCACAGATCTCAGACCACGGAGCACCTGCATCTGAATATTCATGTTAAGGGGGGGGGGGGGCAGCAAAGACAACCGCATACGATGGGACCAAACGCTTCGAAGAAGAGGCGGCGCCTCGCACGACGTAAAATGAGCAAACGCAGCGGGGCGGATCTGGTAAAGGTTGCAACGAAAGCAGTGAAAGCCTTTCAGTGAGTTATCGCAAGCCCATTTGGCATAGTAAAGCTGACGTTGGCAAAGCGCTAAGAGAAGCCGGTATCAGGTTCTGGAAGAGACACCACCCCAGTTTGCAACCGGGAGGCGGACAAAGAGTTAAAAAAAAAACCTTCGCGGTCGGTCAGAAACATGTCGGGAACGCTTTGAATGTCGTCATGCAGTACGGGGCACATGCCATGTATGGGATATCCATAAGCCAGAGAGTGCTTGCGTTCATTGTGGGCGACGGGAAAGTCAAATACCGTCTACATTTCCAGCCAAAATGGAAATGTTCCCAACTGTACCTCCAAAATTCCGGTCATTATCGCATTGGCTTACTGCAGCGCATTGCGGTGTGGTGGGTCAATTTCGAGAGGATTCTGCGAATCGGCTCACATGAAAAGTGCCACCACTGAAACCGTCACGCCAGCATGGAAGAAAAGTGTAGCAGCGCAAACACCAGAGAGAGTAACATCACCAGACAACGAAAAAGTAGCATCTGTTTTCAGTTTTGGCCGCTGGTTACCCTCAACAACAATTCGTATGTTTGCCAGCTTTGGCCAGTCGGAGTCACGTTCAGGACACCTCCTCACCGGGGAATTCACACCCTGCGCGAGCTTGACGGTCTGGGCTGGCGAGTCATCTGCTATTTGTTATCTGAACAGTGAAATGGACGCTATGAACCATTCGGTTATGCTGTATTTCTTGCTGCGTGCGTTTTTTTTTTCTAGCGTCGCATGAGGAGGGAGCCATGTACAATTTCAGTATGTCCCAAAAACGAAGTGACTAACAGTTACTGAAACATAAGTAGGCTGCAAGCGTAGTAAGCTCCAATGTCCGTTTTGATTCATGTGACTTTGTTCAGCAGTTTGAATTTTCCGTCGACATTTATCTGCAAAGTGATGGCTTAAAATTTGGAGAAAATGGGTGGGAGCGACGATGAAACATAAGATTATGAACGGAGCGTGCACGGTATAAAAAAGAATAAGCATGAGCCTGGCTGTTCAAAATCTCTACAGTCTGCCGTATCTCTAACATGACGAAAACTATGCTCACTGAACCCGCCAATGATTGTGACCTCCATCTACAAACGCAACGTATGTGCCGACTGATGTGAGCGAAGATGCACGTCAGGGTCTGCTGGGTCCGGCATTAATAATGACTCAGTAGCGCAACAGAGAAAACCGGAACTGATTGATCTCTTTCAGCGCGAGATGCCGCCACCAGAAATCCGTAGCAGATTGCCCTATTCTGGTACCATAATCAAAACAAGCGGCGTGAGGCAGAACTGTCGGATTCGGTCATGTCTCCAGCTGATCCGTGCACGTTCGGAATGTTGGTTTAACCCGCACGGCGCGCCGGCTCACAGAGCGCCGACCGAGAGCTGGTGAAAGCCGCCTGAGATCAAAGCACGGCTCATTAGATACGCCAGCGGTAATTGTCGGCGGCGCAAGGAAACGCATCCCGCGACACGGCCTCGGTAATTGTAACGGCGTGGGCATACACTGGCCTCGGACAGTTCTGACTAATTGGTAAACATCCGTCAATGACAATAAACACAGGCAGCGCTGAGTCACGCGGCCATGGCCAAAAGCGATCACGCCAGATCAGCAATTAGTCATGCAGGATTACAAGGAGTGGTGAGCGGTGAAATAAGTTTTGTAATGGAGACGGGTCGTGCGATGTGATTCAGCCCCCTCAACCCGGATGATAACCAGATGAAGTGTGGTTCTCGGTAAACCGTTGACGCCAGCTTCGACCACCCTGTCGTGAGACACCTTCAGCGCGCGAATGCTTTGGGCCACCGCGGAATTTAAGGATACTAGAAAACCGTCACAGGTCTGGCGCTCGCAGTCAGCATAATGATGATGTCACAATGCCCAGTCATGACGTAACGTAGTTATCATCTACAGGACGTCCCATTCATGGCGGGTTCGGGTCTGGTCGGGAAGGATTGTGCTGCGTGGGGCCACTATCATACAGAAATGCGGCAGGCTACAATAAAACAAACATTTTCGGTGGTTAAGGGTCGAGGGCGTCAGTAGGCCCCTGCTTTGATCGAGAGCAGGCCCCTACATGGTGCAGTGGGCAGCTCGGTCAGACAGATACAATGGATGACTTCCAGCCGCTGTACAACAGGGGATACCCGTTCTGATTACGAGAGTGTCCCATTGATATCTAGGAGTAGGGCCTCTCGTGAACGACAGGGGGCCTCAATAATTAAGGATAGTGTATGATGAAGAAAAAACATGGCGAAAGTCCCATAACGATTGAGAGAAGGCCCCACCATTTGCCATGCTGCAGAGTCCTTGGATGGTGGAGGTCTCTGGCACGGCAAAGTGCCTGACCATGGTGGAAACAGGCATGCTGAAGTGGCAGGGCACCCTTGTTGCGACTGAGAGGCTCTGTCTTGATTGCGAGGAGACCGCAATATTCAAGCTTAGCAGTAGCATACGCTTGCAGCCAGTTTTAAGATGATACTGCCAAATATCTTGAGCCGAATTTCTGGGCCTTTTATCCGCCTGGCGGTGGACAGATAATTATTTTAGCTCTGTTACATCTCAGAACACTAAGCGACTGACGACATGGCAGATACAGCTGAGACAAAAATGATAAATTATTTTAGGAGACTTGTTATACCCCTTTCAGACCATATACTTGTTCATAGGGTAGTGAGATTAACAAGTATCATCGCAACAAAAGCATCGTGATGTGGAGATATATTGAATTATTCCTCAAACGTGTCGTCTACTGCACAGTTCTGACAAGGCATATTTTCTACCAAAAATTTCGAGTATGGACCTTCTCATTCTCTGATCTGTATGACATATGTTTAACCGCATCATTCCTCAACGAAGGCACACTTTTATCTTAAC